TGCAGCCCCCGCGGGCCCCCGGTGCTGAGCGGCGTGCCCGGAGCCGCCGGGTTCCGCGTTCCCTCCCCAGGCAGGGCTGAGCCTCCGGGCCCTTCCCGCCCCGGCTGAGGGCAGGAGGGGCCGGGTGTGTGACCGGGGGCCGCTCGCTCGCTTCCTGCCACCTGGGGGTTGGCCTCTCCGATCTCACCTGGGTGGGACTGCGGTGACTCGCAGGGAGCGCAGGGCAGGCTGCGCGCATCCAGCCGGAGGGTGCTCTGTGACTTGCTTGGTTTTTCCTGCACTTGCTCGATTGACCTCCAACCCTGTCTTTATTTACATTTTGATTTTTCAGATCTTGATAGAATTTAACTTTATTGTCCATGCTTCAGTTGTCATCCTTATTACTACTTCTCAGAATGCTGGTTCCTCACCTGAGCAACTGATTTCTATGACTGTAGGAGGTACTGGAGAAGTTTTGAAGGCTGTATTTTGTCATTACTTTTCTCCTTTACGTCTGTGAGAATTCATAAAAATATCTGTTTTCTGGTTTGAGAACTTACCAAGTCATTAGCTGTTGTTATTCGTAAAGCAGCCAACAGGTTGATATTCTTCTGTTCTCGTATTAATAGAGTGTCGCTTTCTACGCAATTGCCAGCGCACCAACAATAAGATTTATTGGATATGGTGTTCTTACTCACTCTTCTTTCCAATAGCAACATCTTTTTTATGTTAAGGAGGACCGGAGCCATTAGATTCCTAAACCATTCCCAGCAGCACTGACTCCCGCTTTCTCTCGGCCCCCATCCTTCTCCCCATCCCCTTAGAAGTGTTTTCCAACCACAGCAGTTGCCCAGGAGCAGGTCCAGCCAGGGTAGTGACTGCTTCGAGCATTTGTTTTGAGGAAACAACAGACTTCCCTTCGGGTTTTGGGAGCGGGACAGTGAGCTGTCCTTCAGCTGCCGTATGCTTCTTATTTTTTTATGAGTCTTTATCACAACACAGTGATACTTTTCACACAGTGTCCCTTATAATTCTGGACGCAAAGTACTTTTGTTTTAAGCAGTGATTTTTTTTTTAAAGGAATTGAAGTATTTGGAACCAAAAAGAGACAGAAATTGTTAGATACAAAGTTTCACAGTTGCTATATAATTTGGAGTGAGTCATTAGTTTTATAAAAATGAGCTAAGAATCTCAAAGATGAATCAGGATGGCTGTGAGTAGCAGGAGACTGGAGTGGTTTGCTCAGACTCTAAGCTGTGGAGAAGGTGTATGGAAAGATCTGTGGGTGAATAAAAATACAAAAAGTCCCTGCCCTCGAAGGATGAAGCACTATCATAGATTAAGGAGTTTATAGCAGTGCCTCTCAGACTGTGCTAGGAGTTGACAGCAGTGCTGCTTAAAGTGTGGTTCCTGGGCTGCTGGAGTGAGATAGATAACCTAAGCATTTAGAAACTTGTTTAGCAGTGTGGCAGAGTAATTTTTTGTCTGTTGACCTTAATAGTAAAACATTTGGGATTTTATTTTGTATGTAGTTTTTTCCTAGAAAGTTAATTGTGTGTTAAAAATTGTTGGTTCACAATGAATTAGAAACAAACAACTGGCCCTTTACTTCAGATAGCTTGAGTTCTTTGGGAAAGACGGTCTTGTTGGCCTATGTTGCTACTTAGCACCTGGTAGATTACCACCTGGATACAGAATAAATACTTGAATTGCATTTAATCAAAGTATTAGGAATTCACTTTGTTTCATGGGGCTCTATGGATCGGATACAGAACTTGTGTTTATTTTCTCAAGTGAAAAATCACACCTCTGCAAATATTATGATGGAAAGAATGTAAAATAGAAACCCCAAACCTCTTAGTATGGGATTTGATTGATATTGCCAAATAAATAGCTTAAAAAAAAGAGAAAAAGAAAAACTGAAGAGAGCACCCTTTAGAGACAAGTACAAAATAGGCTGTGTTGGTGTTTTAGTTAATGTATGTCCGATCAATAATAGTATGTATTATGCAAGATCCTGAGTAGGCTTTAGGATATGCAGGGTGTTGTATGTGTTGGTGTTTTAGTTAAAATTGAAATCCTAAACATGAACCCTTACATTAGGAGGCTAGTACTTGGCCTCTGAGAAGACTTCAATCTTATTTCTTGTGACATTCACTTTTTTTTTGCCTGAGGAAGATTAGCCCTGAGCTAACACCTGTGCCAGTCTTCCTCTACTTTATTATACGTGGGTCACTGCCACAGTGTGGCTGATGAGTGGTGTAGGTCTGCGTCCAGGATCCGAATCCGCAAACCTGGGCCACTGAAGCGGAATGTGCCAAACTTAGCCACTATGCCACAGGGCCAGCCCCTTTAACAGCCGAGATCCATTTTTAGCCTTTTTATATAATTTGTGTTTTAAAAAAAATCTTTCTATGGACTCTTAAATATTAGTGTTATATACTAGAGTAGTATTCAGAGTTGGAAATCCCACATGTGAATATTTGATATTTTTAGTTTTTAAAAATGGAGAAAGTTTATCATGTTCCCTGTTGGAACATCAGGCCATTGTGAGAAACCATGAAAGATAACGTATTAGTTGGGAGAACAGGACAGAAAGGCTACTCCAAAGAAAACAGTAGAATCTCCAATACTGTGTGCTCTGTACATTCTTGAAAGAATCTGGTTGTTGTCTTTGTTTTGTTTTTAATTAACAAAACAATTTTTCTTCTTAGCTTTGATTATATTCTTGATCTAATTTCGGTTTGGTCTTCCTTCAGTAGAGGAGATTTCACTATTGTGTGTTTGAGGAGGGCGAGCTGTCAAGGTTGATGGAGTCCGGGGAAGTGACCCTGGAGTGCCACTGTCAAGTCTGACACTTTGTAGGCTTGAAGTGATGATGTCTACACTGAGTTTTTTGGGGGTGAGGAAATGTTTATTGTGATTGAGCCATTAGTCTGTGGTCATTAAAGTCTTGCATAGAAAGAACAGAAATATTATTTGATAGAAGGCAAATAGATTTTGTTAAATCTCTTTGTTTCTGATGGGGGGGAAATAGATTTTTTTTCCATATCACCCCATTTCACCCCCAGGCTCCCCACATTGTCACTGTTTCCTCAGATTTCCTTTTTACTCTTTGTTTTGGGCTTTTCTTACATGTTAGAGATTTTCCTTACATGGTGATCTTTGGTTGGTAATCTGTTCCTCTTTTCAGTACCATGTCTTACCCCACTCAGCTGTATCTGGTATTTGCAAGTAACTCCTCTGCCTCAACCCCTACAGAGAGTAAAATTCTTACCTTCTGCCAGGTTAGGGAGGAGCAGTGATCCAGTGGAGGGGCGTTGGGGATCCTTATAAAGACTTTGAGCCAATCCTGTGTTCAGCGCCATCTGGCATCCCAGCTATGGGAGATGCCTCTGATTTTCAGGGTTCTACCCTAGAATCTCTATCAGGGGTTGAACAGAGATGTGGTGTAATCTGAGCAGGAGTGAGGAATCAGGTTTCTCCTCTGTACTTAGCCATGTATCACTTACCCACTCACTGTTCATATTAAAAATGTTTGTTAAGACTTGATCTGAGCCTGTTTGCTCTCTTCTCGTTGTTCTTGTGCATAAACCTTTTTAATGTTTTTATTTTAGTGAAGTCTTGAGAGGAATTGGAGATAAAACACATATGTTTAAGCCATTTGAACCTGAAGCCATAGGTTCTTTTTATTTTATTTTTTAAATTAACATGCAGTAAAATTGCCTTTTTTGGTGAATAAATTCTATGAGTTTTGGCACATGTATAGGAGCAACCCAAAGAACTCCCTTGTGCTACCCCCTTTGTAGTCATACCCTCCTCCCACTCCTAACCTCTGTAGCCACTCATCTCTTTTCCATGACTGTAGTTTTGTCTTTTCGAGAATGTCGTGTAAGTGTACGCCTTTGGAGACTGGCTTTTTTCAGCATAATGCCTTTGAAATTCATCCATAGTGTATGTGTATCAATAGTTCATGCCTTATTCTTTCTTTCTTTTTTTTTTTTTTGAGGAAGACTAGCCCTGAGCTAACATCCGTTGCCAATCCTCCTCTTTTTGCTGAGGGAGACTGGCTGTGGGCTAACATCCGTGTCCATCTTCCTCTACTTGATATGGGATGCTGCCACAGCATGGCTTGACAAGCAGAGAGTCGTTGCGCACCTGGGATCCGAACCTGCGAAGCCTGGGCTGCCACAGTGGAGCGCGCGCACTTAACTGCTACACCACCAGGTGGCCCCAATTCCTTATTGTTTCTGAGTAGTATTCCATTATATGGATGTACAACATTCATGCACCTATTGAAGTACATTTGGGTTGTTTCCAGTTTCTGGTGTCTTTGAATAGAGCTGCTATAAACATTTGTGTACAGATTTTAATATGAATTTAAGTTTTCATTTCTCTAGGGTAAATACCTAGGAGTGGTGTTGTTGGGTCATATGATAAGTGAATGTTTAACTTAACAAGAAATTGTTAAACTTTTCCAGAGTGGCAGTACCATTTTGCATTCCCGCCAACAATGTATAAGAGTTCCATTTGTTCTTCATCCTCCCCAACACTTGGTATTGTTAGTGTTTTTTATTTTATGCATCCTAATAGATGTAGTGGTGTCTCATTTTGGTTTTGATTTGCATTTCCCTAATGGCTAATGATGTTGCATATTTGCTGTCTATATTTTGTTTGGTGAAGTGCCTGTTCACGTCTTTTGCCATTTTTTTTTCTTTTTTTGAGGAAGATCGGCCATGAGCTAACATCTGCCAATCCTCCTCTTTTTGCTGAGGAAGACTGGCCCTGGGCTAACATCCATGCCCATCTTCCTCCACTTTATATGGGATGCCGTGAGAGCATGGCTTGACAAGCGGTGCCTCCGTGCGCGCCTGGGATCCCAGCCGGCGAACCTGGGTCGCCACAGCAGAACGTGTGCACTTAACTGCTTGTGCCACCGGGCCGGCCCCCTCTTTTGCCTATTTTTTAATTGGGTTGTTTGTTTTCTTACTGTTGAGTTTTGAAACTTCTTTATATGTTCTGGATGTAAGTCCTGTGTTGGATATGTGGTTTGCAGATATCTTCAGCCAGTCTGTAGTTTGTCTTTTCATTTTCTTAACAGTATCTTTTGCAGAGCAAATGTTTCTAATTTTTTTTTTTATAATTTTATTTATTTATTTTTCCCACAAAGTCCCAGCAGATAGTTGTATGTCATAGCTACACATGCTTCTAGCTGCTGCATGTGGGACCTGGCCTCAGCATGGCCGGAGAAGCGGTGCGTTGGTGCGTGCCCGGGATGCGAACCCCGGGCC